GACCAAATAAAATACCAACATACATGAGAACGTGGCTGTACGAACCGTACTAACGTACCAAGACCGAAAAAGATACCAACATACATAGAACGTGCCCATACTAAGCGTACTAGAGCTAAATAAGATGCCAACATTTTAAGAACTATAAGCGTATCAATAACTTTTTCAAGGCTGAACAATGCAGAGGTACGTCGCTTACATGACTGCATTAACAATACATGCGCAGTGCACATGAGGTCAAGAGCTTTTCATTCCCCTGTTTAAATCATTAGTGCACATACCCTGACTTTCGTGGACATGCTTTTGCTGATGCAGAAATAGCAGGGATTTATCTCAAGGTTTCGGGAACAGTTGTTCATTAATTTATCAACTCAAATTTAAACTATGGAACTGAAACTGAATACCCAATTGCAAACTATACTGTTACTGCCAGCTTAAAAGGGGTGTGTGTTTGCTTCATCGTTGGTCTCTTCTATCCTTTCTTAGGACAGGAAATATTGTCTAGTTTTTTGTCATCGTCGTCGTTTTTTATTGTTGTGTTGTTAATATGCTGAAAATTCGATGGAGAATTTTACAACAGGAAACATGTTTTTCTCCGGATTTATATTGGATGATAGACATGATAGCCAGAAATAAAATGTCACAAAATTGGGGTTTTTAAGTGAGAAATCTTAGCAGTCAACTGACTCAACAACAACAAAAAGATGTTTATAAAAATGGCTTTAGTAGCTGACCCATATACAGAGTATGTGTTAAATAGGCTTTCACCTTTGGCACAGGCATCTTTCCCTTAAAACTGAGAGCACAATTCAGTGTACCGATTGACAGAACAATATAGGAAAAAAATTGATGTAACCTTGTCATGGAACGTACAGTCTTCTTCAAATGGTTTGCCCAAACAAAAACTTTTTTATATTGGGACACCCTTTCAACAGGTTAGTAATACGTCGTAGGGATTTTGTGTGCATGCGACGGCCTTCGCTTACTGTCATTAAATACAGAGATCGTGCTGGATTTTAATGGTCACTTAAGTGGTGTTTAATTGACAAAAATCACTAACAAGTTGTGATTACAATAGCACACTGTTATAACAAAATTATAAATCACTATGACATTTCAACTCAGGAAAAATTAAGTGGGGGCAAATTACGCCCGGACAAAAATAAAAACAAAATTAGAAAACAACCAAGGAGGCATTGTGCGGGGTGGTAGGACAAAAATGAGTTGCGATAGACTTTCACTTTCGCTCAGATGTGCTCGCTGAGCTTGTTTGCAGAAAAAGGGGAAGAACTTACTTGTCGCAGCCTTTACATAGCTGATGTCTCTCCACGTGACAAATAAAAGACCATGTAATAGACCGCAGAGGCCACCCCGAGAACTGCTTATCGCAAAGCCGCTTCTTAGCTGTCATCTACTGATAAGCTTATCTTTGGTCCCAACATAAAAACCATTATGTTTCTTCCGTTACATAATGCTGGCCTTTATATTGGGACACCCTTTCTTCAGGTTAATAATACGTCGTAGGGATTTTGTGTGCATGCAACGGCCTTCACTTACTGTCATTAAATACAGAGATCGTGCTGGATTTTAATGGCCACTTAAGTGGCGTTTAATTGACAAAAATCACTAACAAGTTGTAATTACAATAGCACACTGTTATAACGAAATTATAAATCGCTATGACATTTCAACTCAGGAAAAATTAGGTGGGGGCAAATTACGCCAACAGCCACACTCTGTGGCAAACCCCACCAAGGCCGAGCACGCACACCAAGCACAAAAACCAATGGCGAGTCAGACATTAGAAAACACCAGGCCAACCTCCGATGTGTTGCCGGTCGGATATAAGAATAATGGTAATCGGCTCTCCAGCCCATGCCTGCCGAGAGCTGATTACTCCTACAGGCATTGAGGAAAACGTAAAAACATAACCGACGAAAAAGGCCCAAGACAGAACAAAAATTACGAAGTAAAAATAACGCTAGTCCATACATCAGAAACACCAGGCCAATGTCTGACGTGTTTCCGGTCTGCATAATAAGAATAAAAATAAAATCGTCTCTCCAGCCCATGCCTGCCGAGAGCGATAACTTTGAATGATACGGACCTTAAATATAATTTCTTTGTGAACACCAGGCAGTTCCCCAGCCCATGCCTGTCGAGAACTGATTATTTGGTCGTTATAAACAGGTTACCAGCCCGTGACTGCAATAACTGGAGACGAACCTAATTAATTAGCCCACGCAGTTGGCGATCGTATGTACAACTTGAATGCATCGGATTTCCAACGACCAAGACCCCGAATCTGCGCGTTAGACATGCCGTTTTCTGCTGCCAGACTAGCTGCACCAATGCGAAAAGAGTGCGATTTGTAACTGGAACAGTCTAAATCACAAAAAGCAAGGGCTCCTTTGAGCTGCCGCGTAAAGACCTCCGTTTTGACGGCTGAGCCGTCAGCTAGGCAAAAAAGTGGACCAGAATTGGATCCTCTCATCCGGCACCAGCGTAGTAAAAACTCAACAGGACAGCAGTGTACGGTCGACTCTTGGTGAATAATTACGGAAAAAGGACACCCGGTTATGTTATGTTTATAATCTGTGATGACAAGTGTGGCGGCCTGTACTTCATTGCGTGATTTTAGAAAAGACAGTGACTGAAACTGGAGAACGGAAATGTCGCCGCTCAGGGGTCTTGGTCGTTAGTTCACCCACTCGAAAAAAGCCACTAGAAACATTGTTTGGAATAGTAAAATCTGATAGGCGGGCATGATGGTGTGATTTAAAGCCTGCACCAATTTATGTAAGATAGAGCGAGTGATAGGCAGTCATATGTCCGGTCTCGAGCAGAGCCTGCTTTGAGCAGTCATGATCTTGTGTACAACAAGTGCTTTGGTGGGATCAGAGAAAGATCCAATTTTATGGACTTAGCTCAATGCGGAAATGTAAGTCGAAATTGTAGAAGGTGCCAATTTCTTGGCCGACAAATAGACCACAAAAAGTACTATATCACTGACACTCATGCCAGTGGAAGCTGTGGGGAAGCTGTTCCACAGTATCGGGTGGAAAAATCTAAGAAATGATTCCATGCTTGTTCGTACGTTTTGCGTGACCCCGGTGATGTAGCAGAGTGCATTAAGCATTTTAAGTTAGCTTCCAATTCTGCGGTAGTAGGCTGCTCGGAACTGGGGTGGGTTGAACGTCCGTGTGTGGCGCAAGAAGCTTGAATTTGTCTACCTGTAAGCGAGACAGTAAATCACATTCTCGGTTTAAAATGCCTGGTATGTGTTTAGATTTGAAAAGAATGTTATATTTGAGACAATTTAGCACGAGTCTGCGAACTAAGACCATGATTTTTGGTTCACGGGAGGTCTGTTTATTGATGATATCGGCCACAGCGTGATTGTCCGAAAAGAAAACAATGCAATGATTGCGCATGATGTCGCCCCAAATCTTGGTTGCCAAAACAATAGGAAAAAGCTCTAGTATTGTTATATTCAGAGATTTCCAACTATCCGGCCAATGTCCGTAAAACCAACTTTTGCCTAGGACTGCAGCGTAGCCTAGAGAGCCCGCCGAGTCTGTATAAAGTTTAATGGTACTAGATGTGAGCCACTTCGTAGATAAGAAAAAAGATTTCCCGTTAAATGAATTTAGAAAATTGAGCCATAACAAAATGTCCTCCTTACAATGTCTCGTGAGACGAATGTGATGATAGGGCTTACGCACACCTTTAGTCAGATCAATCATTCTGCGGAGAAAAGCACGACCGGGAAGGACAACCAAGCACGCAAAATTCAATAACCCTATAAACGACTGCAGTTCCGTAAGGGTTACACTGCATTTGTTATAGAATTCCGTTAACAACCCCCGGCAACATGTGAGCTTATCCTCGGGCAAACGGGTGTGCATGTTAATTGTGTCAAGAGTGATCCCAGTAAATTGTAAACAGGTCGTGGGACCGACAGTTTTCTCATCTGCGATAGGGACTCCGACCTCGTTGCACAATTGATAAAGTTATCTAAGTCCCTATGACACTTGTCTCGCAAAGGTGCTAAAAACAGAAAATCATCTAAGATATGTATGACAGCGGAAGCTTGTAATTTGGCTGTGGCAATCCATTCGAGCACCGTGCTAAATGTCTCAAATATGTTGCACAGAGACGAACAACCCATTGGAAGGCAACGATCAAAATAGAATTTACCTTCCCATTCTAAACCGAGCAAGTCAAAGTCTCGAGGGTGGAGAGGTATTATGTGGAAAGCCGACTTAATGTCAGTTTTTGCAAGGAAACACCCAGCACCTAATGAGCTCATTTTCTTAATTGCGTCATCTATAGTAGTGTAATGTACAGAAGATAGCTCCCGAGGAATGCCGTCATTTACAGAAGAACCTTCCGGAAAAGACAAGTGATGTATGAGACGGAATTCCCCAGGAGCTTTTTTAGGAACGAGGCCAAGAGGGGAAATTCGAAAATTCTCAAAGGGAGGCGTGTCAAAAGGACCAATTATTCGTCCTGACAATACCTCCTTATTAAGCTTATCAGTAACTTCCCGTGGGTTTTCAAAAGCACTCTTAAGATTTTTGGATTGAAAGTTGAATTTATCCCCAAAATATCGAATAGAAAAACCAAAACGAAAGCCATTTACAAGATAAGTCGCTATGGCTGGATCATACCCTCTAAGGAGTGGTTCCAGCCTGTGCGTCTTTACTGGAGTTGGACTGCAATTTAAGTGGGGCAGATCCTTTTCTGTCCTCTCCACTTGAGGATGCATGCTGGACACTGGGCTTGGCATGACACTGAGTTGCGGAATGCGTGGCACCGCACTTAAAACACGTGTGCTTGAATCGACAGCCAGCACTGAATTCGCCGGAGTGAAATTTCCAGCACACACCTTTTGGAAAGGACAGAAATGGCCGGGTTTGGGGTTTTTTATTCCGTGTATTATCCGGTGGAGATTTTGATGTTACGTGAATGGCCTGATTCCAAAGTTCCCACATTACCCTGTCCCAGGAAAATTTCTCTGGATTTGTTTGACGCAAATAGCGGAATCGCTGGTCGTAATAACGCCAGTTTCCCGACTTATTAGCAATATCTCTGACAACTTCACAATATTTAAGCAAAGCCGCAACCTGTAGCAGGTATTTAGCTGTATAAACAGCCACAAAGGTGTTAAAAGCCGTCTGCCATTGCCCCAAGGATAAAAACTTAGGCTTTGGTTTAGATGGCTCGAGGCAAAGACTTGGCGATTTTCCGTCATTGTTAAAAGGGAGAATAAATTTATCATCGTCGGGAAAAGACGATAGTAGTGCCCCAAAATCAATGTATTCATTGGCCCAGATTTTTGCCTTGAGCTTAGGCGACACCCGAGCCTCCAAATCAATTGCTACGCTCGTGAAGTTCACTTCACTAGGTTTGTCATTGGAATTTGAGATTGACATACCCGCCGACAGGGATGAAATGCTGGCTATCTCGGCAGCTGTGACAGTCTCCACTGTGGCTGAGGCATCTACAGGCCCAGGACTTGAGTTAACCGTGGGGGGACTGGATAATGGGGTCGTTTGCCCAACTCCAACTGCTTTCAGGGCCTCTGTCACTGCCAATGTGACCACGCTCGTTAAGTCCACGATGTTAACAGGTTCAGCTGTTTGTTGCGCTGCTGAAACCTCGGTCAGGTCACTCGAGGCACTAGAGGATGGGGTCGCTCGTTTTGTGATCTTGGCAGCTGGCCTTCCCGCCTGTGTAGCTGATTTTCTCTTAGGAGGCATGACTTAAATAAACCACACAACATTAATGACCAGTAACGCATGACTAAGACCACTAACATAAGTAATTAAACAAAGCATAGTAAAGAGAGTAAAAATGGGTTGCAGTCAGCCGGCCAAATTTTGGTGTACACAACGGATCGAATGCAATAGAGGAAAATGTGGATATATGATACATGGACACAAAACAATAGAGATAGGCGCACCAAGGTTCACCGGGCGCAAAAATTATGTGTCGGGTATCACTATATAACAAAATGAACATGTGACTTGAGGCAAAACTTCTGACAGGCCTGTCTCAAGCGACAAACAAAATATAGAGGATATGGTGCATGGACATATTGAGGACAAACGTCCTATAATGGCCTGAGTGCACTGGGCACACTATTGTGATAGCCGCCAAAAAATAAGTACACTAATTACGCCATGTGTCGGGCACCGATCACTCATAAGTAAAATTGGCACTAGTCAGACTATAAGAGAGAAATGCCTCACTCGTCACTATATATTACAACGACATAAGTATGCACTTAGGTATTCTTAAAATTGTGAAATTATCAGCCCACTAGGCCTGCGGCCTTAATGACTGCACCCCGGATACTTCGAAACAACTTTAAGTTGCCTAAATCATTTAAGTGAACTCCATCCGGCAAGTAAATGTTTTCCCGGGAGTTCCAGAAACCCCTGTGTTTCCAGTACAAGCAGCAAGGTATTGGTTCGAGAACAGCCTTAAGATACAAATGAAGTTTGGTAACTTTTTAATTGTACGCAGTACACTGAGGGGAGTGCCGCTGAATAACTTGGCATACTGCAATGCTTTTCACATTAAACTCGTCGTGCAGATATCGCACTAAAATTTCAAGCTCCGAACTGACGGTTTGTGCCGGCAGTTTGGTTAAGTCGTTAGAACCCAACTCCAAGACTATAATATCAGGACTGAGACGGCGAATTATGCCTAAATCAAACTTCCGAACCTTTGCAATTGTGCGGCCACCTACATTTGGACCCTAGAGATGAGAGTTTGGCCATGAGGTGTTCGTGCCCCCTTTTCTGCAAAAACCCAGCAAGACGACGAATAAAGGAGTGTCCCAACAAAAATAAGACGAAAATAAAAAACAGGACAAAATGATGAAACTTGCCTGATAAATTGGGAACAAAAATGAGTTGTGATAGACTTTCACTTTCGCTGAGATGTGCTCGCTGAACTTGTTTGCAGAAAAAGGGGAAGAACTTACTTGTCGCAGTCTTTACATAGCTGATGTCTCTCCACGTGATAAATAAAAGACCGTGTAATAGACCGCGGAGGACACCCAGAGAACTGCTTATCGCAAAGCCGCTCCTTAGCTGTTATCTACTGATAAGCTTATCAACATAAAAACCATTATGTTCCTTCCGTTACGTAATGCTGGCCTTTTCGGCTCTCTAGCTCTCTCTAGTGTTGAACTATCAAGGAATCTTATCATTACATCTTGAATACTTATTCTTTTTGGGACGCAAGCAATCAATGACCTTACCAATATTACTCCATGCTTTATTAAGCTGTAAATGGTAGTTCCTTCTTTGAGATCCTTAGACTGTCCACGTGAAACATATTGTCATAAGCCAAAGTTACTGAGCTCACTACCTAAATTATTTACATCAGCTGACGATTTTCCAGTGTCCTGAAGGGCCTTGAACTTGTGATACAACCATATGACCAGGATAATGTAAGCTTGAGCAAACCACTGTAGCAACGTCACAAGCAGCAGGTACCGTGAACGAAAACAATTTCCCTGTACTTGCATCACACTTTTTAAAACAATTCTTAGTGGTCTATTGTACTGCAATGTGTGCAAAATTTTATAACTTGTGATATGAACTGTTTAGCTCAATCCAATAACGTTTGCCTCTATTTTACAAAATTAAATGACACGAGTTATAAGCACAAAGTTAGATATAATGACAATCATCTTTTAACATCGCTTTTTTGCTGGTGTCGTTGTTGTGATTGCTCAAGCTTCCTAAAATTTACATTCACTGCTCCTCCCTACATGAGAAGCACTGAAACGTGCTAACATAATCAGTCATCCACATGCCAATGCATTTAGTGTGCTGCCATTGAGTGCAGTTGTTGCACTTTACCATCCCCGATTGCTTCGTGGACTTGCACAGGTAACAAAGAGTGCTTCGTCTTTGAAATGCAAGCTTCCTCTTAGTACCTCCACCTGCTGGTGGAAGAAAAGGAAAAAAAGTTTTTAAAAACCATAAACTAGTTTGCATTTTTTAAGCTGTGTTGTTTTATGCACTGCAACACGGAAATTTAAATATTAAATGTTGCGCTAACCGCTAAAGGTATAAGTTGGCTTCTTAGTGTACCAAGTTTATTCTGTTCCAGAAAAAAAATGTTACTGGCATACGAAATGTGGGCTTCGAGTTCCATAATGAACACTGTTAAAAATCAAAGTGTAGAGAAAAGATAGGGAGTTACTAAATTCTTTGCCAATGACTCAATAGAGGACGTACTTTTCTCGAAGTCAAGTAATAACATTGTATCAACTCACACACTCACTGATTTCATCGTACAAAAAGACCACAGAGAACCTGTTTAAGTTAGATAATGCTGAAGTAGTATGTGTAATACCTAAGCCTGATGCATCCCGAGTGTCGATGATGGCGGCTCAAAGACTGGACTTGAGGGAGTGGTGGAAATCAAGCTTAATGATGGTGTGACTACAACGGAAAAAAAGACGTTTACGTTATTGTATGCCCAAAGAAATACATCCATGCGCATGCTGTTAATCACTTTAACAAGCTGGAAACAGTTGTGCTCCTTGTTTTATAACCAAGTGTATCAAGTTTTTATAAGAAAGCAACGTTTCTCATTTTGTTACTACAGGGTGCATTTAGTGCACGGGTATTTTTGAGTGTGGTCATTACCAGGAGTTAAAAAAAAATCCCCATGGAATTGTGGATTCAAGAGGGAATAATGGGACAGACGGGAAATCGCCCAGTCTTGCCCTTGCAATATGTGAATTTCATTAAAGTTGATTTTAGAACAATTAAATGCATGAAATTAATCAGAAGTTTGTTTCCGTAAAGATGTCCAAACTTTCATTAAGAGCCTGTTTACATGGAGGTGGGGCACCCCAGCAAAGAAGCGATGAAGACCTGCAGTGTGCGGTCGAGACATCGCGATCAATATCAAAGTGACAATCGTGACCCAAACGATAAAACTAAACCCTTTAAACAACAAATTATATAAACGGTGCTGCCAATTTTGTTAGTACATCTGCGGTACCAATCCACAAATTTAAACCCTTAAAAAGTACGAGAACCCCCGTCACTTTTATAGGGGAGTACCTGTCCCTGGGTTTTTCGTTGTGGCAAGCACACTTGATAATCGCACACGCCAGAAAAGGTGTCTGACTCGTCTTTTCTGCATGGGTGGCTAAGTAAGGAAGGAACCTAAATTCAAAAATGTCATATTCCACTTACATGCTAATTCCATCTGAGCTCCTGATAACGTCCGAAAGATAAGCATTTACTCTTTGAAACTCCAGGGGAAATTCGATTAAACCATAGATCTTGAAATAGAAATTTGGGATTGATTTGTATGTTTTATCGCTGCACTTTACGTGGAGGGTGCGTTTTCCATCTGCTCTTTCCTGGATGAATAAAGACTTCAATGGTGAGCTCTTTGGCATCTTGCGACCGTTGACTGTGAGTGGACTCAGTTTTCTGTGTTGCCCTTTCTTAAGGCAGTACTTTTCCATTTAAAAAACGTGCAGTAAATTTCCTTGGCCACAATACCGTAATGTACTGTAAATAAATTGTTAGACTATTACAAAAACATCAGGTCATGCAGTAAATTCACTAAGGACAACGTTTTGTTTAGTAGTCAATACTTTTCCATACATCTCCAAGCTCTCCCCAGGAGTGGACGCTTGTCAAGATAAGTCAAGACAAAACAATTCTTTATTTGGAGTCTTATACAGTCCTATGTACATGGACTTTATCCACATAATTTAAATCATAACACAAATTGCACACTAGTAAAACTAAAATCAATGTCAACCTAAACAACTAATGATCTTCTTTTCTCATAGCAGTTGAATACATATTTTGCAATTAACTTTTGCACTGGTTTGTTCTTGCTCGGAGGGTTTATTAACAACAGAAAAACATCATCTGGTGCTATTCTGTTTACTGATATTCTGTATTCTTTGTTTAAGTACTCAAATAAAGTACTTCTTTTTTGTTGATATGCAGGGCACCGAGTTAAAAAGTGTATTTCATCTTCTACGTCTTGTTTACAGATAGGACAGATCCTCTCTTCCGGTTTCTTATAAGGTCGTACATATCGACCTGTCTCTATGGCCAATTTGTGATTACTTAGACGGAGTTTAGTTAGAGTTATCTGGTGTTGGATGTTGGTGACCTGTCGGAGATCATCTTCACATTTATAATTTTCTATTGTTTTAAATTTTCGGAAGGTTCTTAGATTGTTCTTTTGGTTGGCGTCTTTTCTTACATCATTGTTTACGTCACTTAACCATCTTTGTAATTCGATGTCTTTCAGTCTTTGTTTGATAATGTTCAAGATTCCTATGTGATTTGCATGTGCTTTTGTCCAGGGGTATCCCAGCCCGATTTGGTCTGATACACGTTTGATTTTTTTTCTCCATAATTCCTTATTCATCCTCGACTTCATATCATTATAAACCACCTGTGATAATTTGTGTTTTGGGTGTTTGGTTAGAGTTAGCCAAAACTTAAAATTCCTATATTGTGCTTCGATTTTTATTGGGAATTTTCCTGTTTCAGCCCTAGATGCATTGTTGCTGCAGTATTTATTTACACCTAGCAACCATTTCAAGAATGTAATTTGAACTAATTCTGCGGGATCTTTTTCTATTTGGTCGTTACAGTCAACACCCCAAATTTCACTTCTGTAGAGAAGTATGGGGGATATCAGAGCATCGAATAGCTTCATCGTCAGCATAATACTTTCTCTAAAGTTGTCACCCATCTCTTTTCGTAGTTTATAGTGCCTTAAGGCCAACTTTTTTTAACTCTTCTCTAGCTAAACTAAAATTTCCATACGGGTTCAGTGTCATTCCCAGATATTTATAAGATTTAGCATTGTTTAGTTTGTGAAAGGTTTGACCCCTGGAGTCATATCAAAAGGTTGAGCTTGATCGTCCGGGTGAACGTAGTCCTGAATAGGACTGTTGTTGTTGACAGTGACTGACGTTTCGACAACCTGTGCGGTAGTCATCTTCAGAGTCAAAGTGAGTTGCGTCACGTCAGTTGATGGTATTATACTCTGGTTATTGATCTGATTGGTCAATTATGTCGCGATGTTATTGGTCGTCTGTCAGTTAAGCCGTGATGTTATTGGCTATGAAGACTTGTAATCAGTGATTGGTGCGTTTCGATCCATCTATTGTCACAGTTAAACAGTCGTCTATTGTTAGTCAAATTGTCAGTTCTCCAGTTGTTCTCTCGTAGTTAGTTTTCCTTGATCTCGTCAATAAGTCGTTTGTACGATGCTGGTAACTGTTGGCTACGATTCAGTGGCGTTTGTTCTAAGTTAGTAAACCAGCTTTCTAAAGTAAGACGTTGATAGTAGTCTGTCTATACATGTCGCAGAGTCCCAGTCAATTTGATGTTTCGTCTTTGAATGGTGCTCAGCAATGTGATTGTTGACGTCACCATTCCTCGTCGGGCGTTTGTGTTCGGTCAGTCGTGTGCTTAGGTTTCTGCCGGTTTCACTCTGCGACATGTATAACGTATTCTACAGACTACTATCAACGTCTTACTTTAGAAAGCTGGTTTACAATTTGAAAATTTAAATACATTAAAAAAAAATAAAAAATATTCATAACTTCGTTTCAGTAATTATCATATTTCCTATGTCCATTTGTTCAAATAATTTTTCCATAACAGTAACAAACAATATAAAAATCTTAGATAATGAACTTCCTTCGATCAGACAAATAAACTGTTCATAATGGTTGGAGATGGGTATACTCTGGCCTCTGGTAGGTCATGCCAGTTGATATACCAGGAAACATTCCTGAAGAGATGCCAGCAACAGGATGATCAGAAAATTGTACTTGGTACATTAACTGCTCGATCTGCAGCCTAACATATCCCTTAACATGAACTGGTAAGTTCCTGAGTCTATACACAGGAAAAAATAACGGATTCCCATTTTTGGATATTTTAGGGTATTTAAAGAATACCCACAAAAATCCCAGATTTGGAAGAGTGAGACAAGTCCCAATCAGGGAACTTGGTTGGGAATTCCCTGGTTGGGACTTGTCTCACTTTGCCAAATTTGGGATTTTTATGGGTATTCTTTAAATACCCTAAAATATCCGAAAGTGGGAATCCGTTATTTTTTCCTGTGCTGTTGGCCAGACTTTGACAGTAGATGGCATCTTCATCTTCCTCTTCTACTGTCCTGCTTTTCTTTGGTTGCTCGGGTTGCAAAAGTCTATCTGCTAAGCTTGTTGCAGTTTTTAGTAAAGCCATATCTATGTCACTGTCCTTTGCCTTCCTTGCATTTGATGCCCATGGTCTCTTGGTGGTTGATTTCCCTTTCTGTTTTGAACTCCTGTTTGGGTGACAATCATTAGCAGCTGGAGAAACAGACGTTTCAGACTGCAAGTCATCCTCACTTGATGTTTCCTCGTATTCAAGCGAGTCCTCAACATTGTTTGCGCTTTCTGCTTCTTCACCATGATTTGCATCATCTTGGACCCCTTTCATCATGACTCTGCACGTTTGTGACAGTTGATGGTCGTTTGTTGATGTGGTTTGACTACCAATCCAAATTACTGAACTCTGCGGGAGAGGGGACAGCATCACGCCCAGAACCAGATGGAAAAGACTTTTTTTTCTCAAGTATCACCCATACATGGTTCGGACATTCTTATATTTTTTTTTCTGCTTCAGCCGCATCCAAGCTGAATTTCTCTCCTATTGCTTTCCAGATATTCATTCTTATAAACTTATTCTTATAGTCCGTAGAAAATTTGTTGTAAATTGCAGGATATTTTTGCACTTCTTCTATAAAGAGTGACGTATTTAACTTAGTGTTTTCTGCTGCCATTTTGAAATGGAGCATGTGAGCTAGGAAATTTGGGATAGGAGTGATGACTTCTGGGATGGCCTTCTATCAACCCGATCGTCTCAGTCATCTGAGAGTGTTTCCATATGATTGCTTCCAAATTTACATGATCGTCCCAATCGTCCAAATAGAACTCAACTCTATCCAAGCAATCGAGGTTGTCTCAGTCGTCCGGGTCATTTGCAATTGTCTAAGTAGCGTTTCCATATGATCGTCCCGACCATCTGAGTAACGTTTCCATATGATTGTCCTGACCGTCTGAAAATTTTTTGAGACAACTGGTACAATCGGGACGATCTGGACGATCATGTGGAAACCAGGCTTTAGATTAGAGCGCAAACAATAATCCCTTTAATGTAAGGGAGTACCCCCCCAGGACTTTTGCGACAAGTAAGTGCGTGCAGTTACATCACTTTATACAGTAAATTCACAAAGGCCAACCTTATGTTTAGCAGTAATTTTCCATAAATCTCTCAAGCTCACATTAAATTGTAATGTCCCTATACATATGTAGTTATGTCATTAATCAGCTTGGTAAATACGTAGAGATTTAGCATGCCAATTTGGTCATCTGTCTTTTTGATCGTGGACAAAAGAAATAGAAAAAAGAAAACACCCAATATATTTTCATTAGAATCGCTAGAAGAGCGTTTCTCAGCCAAGAAGTCCATCATCCAGGAACTGAGCAACTACGTTTCATTCCTTTGAAACTATTGACCCCACCAGCAGTAACCGATTCAGAGAGGAGGCATTAATGATTTTGGCATTCAAGTTCACATTTAGAGGAGTTTATTTGCTGAAAGTGGTAATAGAACTTGTGCCCAAAACCTACTCAATGAAATTGTCCGAGTTTGGTAGTGTCTCACAGCGCCCTCAACTTAACAAGAAAACATCTGCCGGTGACACTCCAGTCGTGTCCTTAAATCAAGACAAACTAGAATTCACCGTTAATTTTATGGAAAGCAATTGCGTGCAATTTTAAAGTATGGGAGAACCACTGGAAGTAAATAAGCTTTGGGAGATAAGCGAAAGAAGTGAGTATCATTTAACGAAAGTTTTGGCACCTCCAGTGAGCACTTGCTTGAGCTGTGAGGGAAATATCAGCATGCACAACTGGCCAACTAGAGCAAGACCCTTTTCTCTGGAAGGCCCGGTGCCAGCCTCCAAAATTGCCCTCGAGTGCAGGAACTGCAAGATTTCCTATTGAATTGCTCGATACACTCATGATGACAAATCGCACTATTACCCCAAAACACTCACCAGAGGTATTATCGAGGTGTCAAATACAACATACATGAGTGAAAGGCCTTACAAGTGGATACCCTCCCTAAGGTAAGCCTCCCTTTCTAGCACATTTATTTCAAACATTTCTAGATAGATAAATAGCATTACATAATTATTTGACTCTTTTGTTGTAGCAATCACTCATAGGTCTCCTTTAGCGGATTTTCGGAATCCTGTAATGACGTTAATGAAGAAGAAATAGACAAATACCACAGGAGTTTTAACGGTGAGTAGATTATTTGAGCTAATTGTTGACCATTACGTCCTTGCCTCATTTTTCCTGCCTACTTCATAAAAATGTACAACCGATAAATCAAATTTAAAAACAATAAAAATGCTCCTAATATTGGCCATATACTAATGAGAAATATTAAAAAGTACAGCGATACAAGAAAAACTACGGCTACGTACAAGTTATTGGACAAGACAAGGGACGAGCACTATTACATTTTAAACAGATACACTTGAAGAACGTGGGTCTTCACAATCATAGGACACAGCTAACGCGGACTTGTAATAATTAAAAATAACTGATTTAAAGGAAGCTGAGGTCGATGGGCTCAAATCTAGTTCATCCACTGAACAATTCCAAATTCTACTAGTTATAATGAGAAACTATTTTTGGTACGTACTTGTTTTACATTTCTTAATTATGTATTTATTAACATTGCTGGTTGAGGATCTAGTGCATCTACCGTATTTGCGAACCTCAGGTAGGACAGAGGAGTTCACATTAACAAGACCATGTGTCAATTTGAAAAAAAAGGTTAGATTTAAAAGTTCATGCCTGTAACAGATAGGTGTTAGGCTTAGACTTTGTAAACGAGACTTATAATTTATATTAGAAGAATAAGTCAGTTTTAAGAAAAAACTTAGTCGCGCGTCTTTGGATACGTTCAAGCTTGACAATGAGCTCGATGGACTGTGGGGCCCAAATTTGGGTGGTGTATCCCAAATGTGGCCTAACTAGGGCTAGGTATCGGTTCTAAGTATGAACCTGGTGTTCCTCTTTAAGTATCCAAGCAGTTTATTAGCTCGTGAAGATTCTTCGTTTACTTGTTTGTACCATGTCAGAACCTTATTAATCCAAATGGCCAGATCTTTTTCTGCAGCATATAATTCAAGTGCGGTGTTGTTGAGTTCGTAAGAGGATGAGATCGGCTTTGTTTTCCTTGTAATGTGCTGTGCCTTACACTTAGCTTTGTTGAAAAGGGGACCGGATGATTGAGACCAAGTTGCAAGATTCCCAAGGTCTTCCTGTAGAGGAGAGGCATCCCTCAAACGTAGTTACTAAAACATGGAACGACCTAAAACCACCTAAAACCACCTAAAACTACCTAAAACTACCTAAAACCATCTACAACCACCTACAACCACCTCAAAAAATTCAACAACCACCTACAACCATCTACAACCACCTCAAAAACATCTGCAACCACTCACAAACAATGTAAAACCATCTAAAACAAGGTATAAATGTCTGAAATAAGGCGAGACGACAACAAGTCACGTACATGAAATACGAGAATCGAACAAAACATCCACTTCCCCCCAAAATCTTGCTCTCCCTGGTCCCTTGTATCATCAACCATTGGCTTAAGTCACGAAATGAAATGCGAGATCATGCTAAGTATATTAAATGACTTAAAGAACTTTACAAAATGAACTATCAAGTCACAAAAAATAATAAAATAAAATAACTGACTTGATTTGGCTTTTTCTACCCTGGGTACCAGTGAGACGTTTTGGTTCACGTTTCATTTGTTTACATAATAGCACAAGGTATAGGGTTTCTCTCTCTCTCGGAGTCTGCTTCACTGCTGTTTTGATCTGAGGTGGCGGATTACATTCCTAAGGACAAGTTAATTTTTTTAGCATCTGTTTATCATCCACCAAACATGTTTGTACATTCCCGGTGACCAGGGGAGAGTAAGATTTTGGGGGGAAGTGGATTTTTTGTTCGATTCTCGTATTTCATGTACGTGACTTGTTGTCGTCTCGCCTTATTTCAGACATTTATACCTTGTTTTAGATGGTTTTACATTGTTTGCGAGTGGTTGTAGATGTTTTTGAGGTGTTTGTAGATGGTTGTAGGTGGTTGTTGAATTTTTTGAGGTGGTTGTAGGTGGTTGTAGATGGTTTTAGGTGGTTTTAGGTCGTTCCATGTTTTAGTAACTACGATCCCTCAAAGTCTTTATCTCTGAATTTTTTTGTGTCATCAGCGAACATCAATACTCGACTGCTAGAACTGAGTACCGTAACGCATTGGCGTTGACTTGACAGTTAGGAGCAGAACCAGTTAAGCAGTTTTCCACCGAAACCGGCCTGGATTAGCTTATGGATGAGGCGTCTGTGACTGACTTTGTCGAAAGCTTTTGACATATCGAGGTAGATGGTGTCAACTTGGCTGCCACTATCTAAAAGTGAACCAATGCGGTCAAGAGCCTCAAGCAGGTTGGTGATGCACGATCTTCTAGTACAAAAACCATGTTGTTTAGGTGAAATTACCTGGTACAGGTGGAATCTGATGCTATTCAACACACAATGCTCAAAGACATTGGACACTATTGGGAGTAGAGAGATGGGGAGGTAATTTTCCACGTGCTCTTTTGCACCCTTTTGTGGACAGGCATGACATTAGCTAGTTTCCAGTCACTCGGGAGAGATCCTAGTTGCGTTGATTTGTTGAAGATCTTACATGGGGAAGGAGCAATCACTGAAAGATGTTACATAAATATACCCAACTAGGGTGTGAATCTGGAGGCCTGTAACAAGAACAGAATAAAATCTTCTGATCAGAGGCTGTTGTGGCCACAGCCAGGGTGATTTGTAGATCTTGCAATTCGTCAGCAAGAGGGTAGTCAGTAACGGATTTTAAAGCACAGGTTTTAGCTAACAAAGCCCCACCAGCTCATCATTTCTACCGATCATTCCTGTAGATTGAATAGCCACTGTAAAGCAACTCAGAACTTTCACCATCTCTATGAAGCCAGGTTTCAGTAACTAGGACAATATCTAAGTCCTCTGTGTAGACCAAACCCTGGAAGCGGTGCAAATTATATCTTGCAGAGTTCACGACTCCTTGAGAGTAGTGAATACTTTTTAAACTCCTTGCATTCATCAGGGGTGGATCCAGGATTTTACGTGAGTGATTTGCACCAACTAAACTAGGGGGGTTGGGGGGCATGCTCCCCCAAGAAAATTTGAAATTTAGTGCTCTCAAACTGTCATTTTCCTGCGTTCTGAGAGCACCTCAAGCCATTCAGACACATAAACAGTACCTCCTCCAGAAAGGCATTATTCTGTACAAATATTTATTACTTTGTTTGACTATACAAGGTAACATTTTTTTGTCTAGATCTGAACTTTGCCTGTCTGTGTCTAAGAGGTCTAGCAAGTGAATTAGCATTGATAAAAGTGTTGACAAGCCTACACGACTCCTGCAGTTCGC